TATATTTATACGCTTTACTGGTTTTGTTTCTCTAGAGAACAGAGCCTAAGGTAATGTGAAATGTGTTAAGTCCCCCTGCTTCTCACCAATATTACTGATTATAAATCAATCAGAGGTGATTTTGCCCCCAGGAAACATTTGGCAATGTCTGGAGACATTTCCAGTTGTCATAACTGGGCAGGGAGGATTCTACTGGCATCTAGTGGGTAGAGACCATGGATGTTGCTGAACATTCTACAATGCATAGGACAGCCAGCTCCAGTACAATTATTTTGTCCAAAATGTCAGTAGTGCTGATGTTGAGAAACACTGCTATATGGAAAGAAGGGTTGTGCATTGTGCCTTTTCTTGGCTATGTAGGGTTTTTCTTTGGAGAACCTAACCAGGTCTCTGCTCTTCTTTCTCACAGCTGCTCATGGCACAAGTGCATAAAATGCATGCTTATGATCTTTCCCTTCCTAGACTGGGTATGTTTGTATCGATTCAAGGACTGGCTTCTTGGAGACTTAATTGCTGGTATAAGTGTTGGCCTTGTGCAAGTTCCCCAAGGTAAGGAAGATAACAAAACCTTTTTATTCAAAAACAATAAATCAGAACTTGTCCACTTGCCCAGGGTAAACAATTACTTGTGCTAGATGAATAGAAAAAAAAAAGTGAACTCCATCACATCACATCATTACCATTTATTTATACCCTTACCTGCCAGATTTCTAACCCCTCCAAGGTGGTTCCAAAAGACTCAGTTTAGTTTAGACCCCTGAATACTTTCTTGAGTATCTGCAGTACCCACTCTTGGTCATTTTTTGCTTAACTACTCAGTTCATACTCACATGACTATAATAGACCTCATTTGGCATTGGTTTTACTTGGAAAGGTAAAGGATAAGAAACCCAGCATGCCAAACATCTCTTCAGCAGGAGTCCTAACAGCTGGTCACATAACAGTCCAGGTCTTTGGTCTTCCAAGTAGCAGTTCAGATGTAACAGAACAAGATCACACAGAGCAGTACAGGAGCTATCTGGGCTTTAGAAGCCTCATTTCCCAAATAGGAACCAACATTTCTTGTAACAGTCTCATGAGTGTTGATCAGGGTCCCACAAGGGACATGCCCAGTTAATAACCATCACCGTGCTCAGAGTCCAAAGCTAGGGTTTGCCGCTGAATGTTTATAGTTCATTCTCAGTCCTCTTTGTTCAGATGGAGTGTACCAATTGGGCTCATTTTAACCATAAGCAATATTGCCTGGTAACACAACTGACATTCCAGTGTTATCAGGTTTCCAGGGAAACAGAGCTAGAAAGTTAACCCAAGATCAAATTTATCCACAGAGAAAGAGGAGGGGCTTTGTTAATTTTTTAGTCAAGTAATTCGCAATTCCCCACCATAGTCTTTAAATACTGCCATTTCTCCATTCTTCTGAGGACGACAACCAGGAATGGGTGAAGCTTATGATTGTGCAGTTTGTACAGAGCACAAAGGAGTCTAGCCAAAGGGGCAAGTGGTGGCTCACGTCCAACTTTGCCACAAGGAAAAGGCCCAGTTGGGGAAAAGGGATGCCTTTTACTTATTTGTTTTTTAATTATCATGTAGTAAAATTGATTTCATTTCCTTTTGGTGTATAATTTTATGAATTTTAAAACATATATATATATATTTGTATAACCACCACCACAATCAGGATACAGAACAATTTTATCACCCCAAAAACTCCCTGCACCATCTCATTTTAATCACACCCCTCCATGACCCCTGATCCCTGGCAACCACTTATCTGTTCCCCATCACCATAGTTTTGTTTTTTTGAGAATGTCATATCAATGGAATTGTGCAGTATATAACCTTTGAAGGTAGGCTTCTCTGATTCAGCATTAGGTCTTTGAGATTCATGTAAGTTGTTGTATGTAACGTCAATAGTTTGTTCTTTTTTTGTTATTGAATAATGATTCCACTGTATGGATATCTCACAGTTGGTTTATGCATTCGCCTGTTAATGGACATTTGGGTTGTTTCCAGGTTTTGGATATCACAAAGTTGCTCTGAATATTCATGTACAGGTTTTTGTGTGAACATAGTTTTCATTTCTCTAAGGTAAATACTAGGAGTGGGATTACTGGTCATATGGTTCATATGGTAAGTATATGTTTACTTTTATAAGAAACTGCCAAACTGTTTTCCAGAGTAGCTGTACCTACCATTTTACATTTCCACCAGCAATGCATGAGAATTCCAGTTCCTCCACATCCTCATCAGCACTTGATATTGTCAATATTTTTAATTAAACTTTTTGAGATAATTATAAATTCACATGCATTGGTAAGAAACAGTACAGAGAGATACCATGCACCCTTTGCCCAGTTTCTCAGTGGTGATATCTTGCAAAACTATATTACAATCTCACAACCAGGATATTGGTATTGATAGAGTTAAGATACATGACATTTTCATTACCACAAGGATGCCTCATGTTTCCTCTTTATAGCTACATCCACTTCCCTTCTGCCCTACTCCCTATTTAACCTCTGGCAACTAATGGGTTCTCCACTTGTATAATTTTACCATTTCAAGAATGTTATATAATGGAATCATACAATATATAAGCTTTTGGGATTGGCTTTTTTTTTTTAATTTTATTTTTTTGTTGTACTTTAAGTGAAAATTTACAATTCAAGTTAGTCTCTCATACAAAAATTTATACATACGTTGTTATGTGACCCTAATTGCTCTCCCTATACTGTGACCGCACATACCTTCTTTCCATCCCTGATTTCCTGTGTCCACTCAACCAGCTCCTGACCTTCTCTGCCTTCTCATCTCACCTCCAGACGGGATTGGCTTTTTTTCACTCAGCATAATTTTCTGGAGATTCATCCAGGTTGTTATGCGTGTCAGTAGTTTGTTCCTTTTTATTATCAAGTAGTATTCCATGGCATGAATGTACCATAGTTTAACCATTCACCCATTGAACATCTGGATTGTTTCCAGTTATTAGCTATTACAAATATAGCTGTTATGAATATTCATGTACAGGTTTTTATGTAAACATCTGTTTTCATTTATCTGGGATAAATGCCCAGGAGTACAGTTGCTGGGTTGTATGGTAACTGTGTGTTTAGTTTTTTAAGAAACTGTCAAGTTGTTTTTCAGAGTGGCTGTATCATTTTACATTCCCACCAGCAATGTATGAGTTAACCCAGTTTCTCTGCATCCTCACCAACGTTTGGTATTGTCACTGTTTTTTTGTTTGTATTTTTTTTAATTTGAGCAATTCTGATAGGTGTGTAGTGAGGTCTCATTGTAGTTTTAATTTGCATTTCCCTAATGGCTAATGATGTTTGAACATCTTTTCCTGTGCTTATTTGCCATATGTATATCTTCATGAAATGTCTCTTCATGTCTTTTGTACATGTTCTGATTGGGTTGTTTGCATTTTTACTGTTGAATTTTGTGAGTTCTTTATATATTTTAGATACTAGTCCTTTGTCAGATATGTGTTCTACAAGTGTTTTTTCCCAGTCTATAGCTTGTCTTTTCATTCTCTTAACAGGTTCTTCACAGATTAAAGGTTTTTAATTTTGAAAAAGTCTACTTGACAGTATTTTTTTATTTTTGCCATTCTAAGAGGTACGTAGGAAACCGTGGTGGCATTAGTGGTTAAGTGCTATGGCTGCTAACCAAAAGGTCAGAGCTCGAATCTACCAGGCGCTCCTTGGAAACTCTATGGGGCAGTTCTACTCTGTCCTCTAGGGTCGCTATGAGTCGGAATCAACTTGATGGCAACGGGTTTTTTGGTTTTAAGAAATATGTCGTGGTATCTTATCGTGGTTTTAATTTGCATTTTACTAATAGCTAATGAGATTGATCATCTTTTCATATGCTTATTTGCTATCCTCAAGCAAAGATAACAAAGTGAAGTGCCTGTTCTTGTTTTTGCCCATTTTTTATTGGGATTTTTATTTTCTTATTGTTGACTTTTGAGATTTCTTTATATATTCTGAATATCTTTGTAAAATACGTGATTTACAAATATTTTCTCAGTCTGTAGCTTGTCTTTTCATTCTCTTGGCAGTATCTTTGGCAGAGCAAATTTTTTTCCTTTTGATGAAGTCCAATTTACCACATTTTTTTTCATTTATGGATTGTGCTTTTGCTGTCACATCTAAGAACTCTTCACCTAACCACAGGTCATGAAGATTTTCGCCTATTTTTTCTTCTAAAAGTCTTGTAGTTTTATGTTTTACATTCAGATCTATGATCCATTTTGAGTTAATCTTTGTATAAGGTATGAAGTTTAAGACAAGGTTTTTTTTATTTTTTGATAATATTGTGTTTTTGGTGAAGATTTACATAGCAGTTTAGATTCTCGTTAAGCAATTTCTGCACAAGTTGTTCAGTGACATTGATTACACTTCTCCTAATGCATAAACATTCTCAGTATTTCCATTTTGGTGTTCCATCAAGGTTTATTTTTGTTGCATTTCCACATCATTTTAAGGAAGACTGTCCTTTCTCCATTGAATTATTTTCATACCTTTGTCAAAGATCAAATGGCTATGTTTTTTGAGTCTATTTCTGCACTCTGTATTCTGTTCCATTGATCTATGTCTGTCTTTTTACCAATACCACATGTCTTGATTATTGTAGATTTGTAGTGAGTCTTAAAATTGGGTAATGTGATTCCTCCAACCTTGTTCTTTTTCAAAATTGTTTTAGCTATTCTAGTTCCTCTACTCTTCCATGTAAATTTTAGAATCAACTTGTCCATAGCTATAAAAAAATCCTGCTGAGATCTTAATAGTATTATATTAAATCTATGGATTGCTTTAGAGAGAATTGACATCTTTATTATGTTGGAATCTTCTAATCCATGATCATGGTATGCCTTTCCACTTATTTAGGTCTTCTTTGATTTCTTTCATCAGGCTTTTGTAGTTTCCAGCATACAAATCCTGTACACATTTTGTTAGACTTATACCTAGTATTTCATTTTGAGGGAGTTATTGTAAGTGGAGGGAGCCCTGGTGGCGCAGTGGTTAAGTGCTCAGCTGCTAATTGAAAATTCAGTGGTTCAAACCCAGCCGCTGCTCTGTGGGAGAAAGACATGGCAGTCTGCTTCCATAAAGATTTACAGCCTTGGAAATCCTATGAGGCAGTTCTACTCTGTCCTTTATGGTTGCTATGAGTCAGAATAGACTTGACAGCAATGGGTTTGTTTTTTTTTTTTTTTAGTTGTAAGTGGCAATTTTTTTTAAAAGTTCCATTTCCAATTTTTCACTGTTTGAATGGAGAAAAACAATTGATTTTTTAGTGTTGAACTTGTTTCCTACTACTCACTTATTAGTTCTAAGAACCTTTGTAGATTCCTTGGGATTTTCTATATAGACAATCATGTTATCTGTGAACAGGGGTAGTTTTATTTTTTTCTTCCCAATCTTAATGCCTTTTATGACTTTTTCTTTTTATTGCACTGACTGAGACTTCCAGTACTGTTTTGAATAAGAGTGGTGAGAACAGTCTTGCCTTGTTTCTGATCTTAGGAGGAGGAAGTATTT